TTACAAAATCGTGTGAAATTTCTCTCATGATTAAAATATATTTTAAATATGTTTTTGTCTCTTGATTTTGCTAGGAACCACATACTTGGCGCCTGTGGCAGCAGATTCACTGGTAACACAAGAATTTCCCAAGTTTGAGATCAAACGAAAGTTCAAAGTGTATTATTATTATTATTATTATCATCATCGTCATTATTTTTATTATTAATAGTAATAATAGCATCTTACAAACTGCATCTTTTACAGCTTTATTCGTGCAAATTTTAAGGGCAACCAAATATTTCAAAACATTTCAAGGGCTGTTAGGTCAGCTTTTCTTCAAGCTGTAGGTAATGTCACTACGTGTCTGTGTAGGTTCTCAGTCATCCAGGTCATTTAATCCAAAAAATAGTTACATTGAAAGCAACTGGCTAAGGCTAAGGAACAGTCCCACATCAAAGGAGTTTTAAAGACCTGCGGCTACCCCAATTGGGCCTTCTCCAAAGCCACCTAAACCAACCAGAAGAACAGAGAGGAGAACGGTAACTAACGGAACAACATTGTCATTCCTTATGTTGCCGGGACCTTCAAAAAAACTTAGGAGAATTTCTAACCAGCACCAAATTCCTGTCCATTTCAAACCCACCAACACACTTAGACAAAAACTGGTTCATCCAAAGGACAAAATACCTCACCACAAACAGAGCAACGTTGTATATGCAGTATACAGTGCAGTGAGGACAGTGCCCTGACATTGGGGAAACCAAACAACCACTGTACAAGTGTATGCAACAACACAGAAGAGCCAGCTCCTCAGAGCAGGACTCATCTGTTCATCAAAAAAAATTGAACTCAACCCTCCCAAACACACGCACACAGAACTGATCACCCCCCCTCACTGCACTGTCTGCCTCCGTACTCACCACCATCCACCTGTACCTTTGCCTCTTTTACATATCCACCACTTGCACTGTTGAAATGCTATAAAATGCACTATTGACTTGTAATACAATGCACTATTACCACCTCATCTGCTGCTAATTATATTATTATATTACTATATTTATTATGTACTTCATGTATATACTTTTTGACATGGTACAACATGGTTGCAAATCTCTTTTTTCTTCACCCGACCAATTGCAATTGTAATGTACACTACTCCTTTCATTGAACAGACTACACATGCACCTAATGTCTTTTGTTGCACCTTAATGTTTTATTGCACAGACTATACAGCACTTTAATGCTATACATGCACCTTATTGTTATTGCACCTTAATGTTTTTCGTTCAGTATTGTCTGTCTGTCAGCGCACGGGAAGGCGAGGAACGTAATTTCGATACCTCTGTATGTTCTGTACTTGTGAAGGTATTGACAGTGGTGGCCTAGTGGTGGCCTAGTGGTGAAGGATGGCATCGTCCTCAAGCACTGCTCCCCGGGCGTGCCCACTGTTCACTTTGGTGATGGGTTAAATGCAGAGGGTAAATTTCGTTGTGCATGGTGTGCTGTGCTGTGCTGTGTCACAATGACTAATAAAGATAAGTTTAAAGCTGACCTTGACCTTGATCTACATCTTGAGGACAAAGGACACACTTTTGTGGATGAGGATGTACATATCCTCGCCAGAGAAGACAGATGGTTTGAGAGAGGGGTGAAGGAAGCCATCTACGTTAATTTGGAGAAATCATCTCTGAATAGAGGAGGTGGTTTGAGACACAACCTTTCATCCACCTACAATGTCGTGCCCAAACAATTTCAACCCTCCCCCTGAAAACAAGACGACAGTTTCAGTTCAAAGGACACCCAGCCAATAGTGTCGCTCAGGTGAAACATAGCTATGGTATCACTCCCCATTCACACCTCCAACCTGGTGACTTTACATTCCACCCTCCTTTGAATAGGGTGGGTTTCACCACACCTCCATCCCCCCTTTCTGCAAAGACCCTCGTTATAGGTATGTAGCCCCCGAAGGCTAAATACCAGAATTTCCTAGTAGTCAGTTAGAACTGAAGAAGCCTCTTGGATGAGAGGCGAAACGTCTTCAAAAAACCTACTTTGTCCAATTACTTTCGATGTAACTATTTTTTGGAGTAATGTCACTACAATTTAATTTTTCTCAGCTATTTCTAACGAACACTGACCTTCAGCTCCTGCAACATCCACCTCAGCTATGTATATTGTATGTAAAGGGGAAAGGGGGAGCATAAATAAACAAGGGGATTGTGGGATAAGCCCAGTGCTGAGAGGAAACATCCATCAGTATTGATACTGATAGACGCCTTGCTCCTGTTCCTGTCAGCTCTCTGGCTCAGCTGTTGTGTAATAGGGTGTTTTGGCGGCTTTCCTGAAAATGAAGAATGTTTTGTTTTAAAACATTCAAATATGTGCATGCATGCATAAGCTTTCGAAAAACCACATAAGTGATGGTTGAAAAACAGCCCAGACACATTGCTGGAATAGTTTGCACTGGATTGGATTGAAGGCTGACTGTTAATGGATGCATACCACACGGTCACACACTGTTGGAAACCCTGGAGTATAACAGGGAAGAATTTCCTTTTAAATGCTTTTTCCTGATCTCTCCAGAACAAAAAATAAAAATAAAAACAAAAAACCCTGAGCAGCAAGAGAAATTTGAAGAAAAAATAAATTGTCAAACCTGTGTTGCTCCTATCCAGCAGTGAGTGTTTGCCAGGAAAGTGTAAAAAATACTTTCCTGTTTTTGAAAGAAATGTTAGTCTTACTTCCTCACTAGATCTCACTCTTTTACGTTGAAACATATAATTTTCAGAAATCATTACTGTCAGGAAACTTTCTCTGTTAGATAGGACTGTAAAATATGCTGTTAGTTCATACCCCAGTTTCCTAACACACGAAGAATTCAAATAAAGATCAAATAAAGATCTGATCAAATAAAGAATCAAACACGAGATCTCAAAGTTTTAAAAGTTTTACTTGCAGCAAGGAGTGCAGAACAATGGTTACATTCAGAACTGCACTGAGGAACATCTCAGTGCTCAAGGTTTAAATACAGTTTTTTACACACACTTCAATGGTCAGCACCTTGGCGCTTCACAGCCATGTGGTGTTCACACGCCACTTCTGAGCGCTGATTGGCAAAGGCTGCTCCAAACAAAGATTCTCCACCAATAGGAGCCATGTGCATGTGCTGCACTTAATCAAGTCAGATAAGATCATGCAATTCTGATGTTTTTCTCTCTTTGTCTTTTGTCGGTCTCCTTATTTGGGCAAAGAAACTAGTTCTGGCCGGTTCTGTGTCCTGTCTCTATCTCCAAGTGTAACAGTCAGTACCAGTCAGTGCTATCCATACCATCCTGTTATGTAAACCATCAGCATGCACACATTTCTTCAGTACTTCTCCTTTTAGTACAGCATTTAAAAACAAACATAAATTGATATGGAAACTTAATATAATGAATATATTGTAAAGATTGAATAAATGTATTTACAACATCCTAACAATTACGTTCCTGTAAACATCTTTTTTTTCTAACCCCTTTCAATTGTTGACTTTCCTCGGCCCAGCAGTTAAGGGTATAGGAAGGTGTTTAATAAGAGTGAGTTTGATTTGGCAAATGGAGTAGACAGAAAAGGCAGGTGTTCCTGGTCTGGAGGCCTTTGCCTTTAAATTTATTGAGCTGCTGCATAGTCAGCTCAACTCACTGAGGAAAGACCTGAGGGCGGCTTTACGTAACCATGGCAATGGCTGAACCACTGTTTCTATTTTGTGAGCATGTGCAGTAAGGTATGGTAAACCTGGCAGTCATGTACAACTAAAAAAAATAACGGTTGATACTCTTGCAGGTAGGAGTCAAGTAGGAATAGAGCTACTACTACTCACTATTATAATGGACTGCTTTGTTACTTCACAAAGCTGGTGAAATCAGAATGGCTTGTTTTCAGAAAAATAAATACAGATTTAGTCATTTTATAAAAATAATCAACTTAGTAGTTAAAACTGGCACGTAAGGAGTAATCAGACACAAATATGTTCACCAAAACTCAAAACAAATCAAGTTTGCATAATATGTACAGCCAAAGCTAGTTGTTAATGGTGTGTAATCGAAGTTGGCTTCAATAATGTTGCTTTTATAGAATCAGAGGACCATTAAAAGCCAGACTTGTATGAGCTACAGAGGGGAACTGGACCACATTTTTACTCTCTACATGGCCATGTGATGCTAGCACTGTCTGTTCTCCTTCTCTATCCTGGCTTCGGTTTATGTCTGTTAGGCAGTGGCACAGTTTGCCAGAATGAAATTTACTGGACAAGAGACCAAAAAAAAAAAAAAGAGCAAATGCGTTGGGCTGAAAGCTTCAAGAGAACATATTCATAGTACTCCGATGTTTAGTCAGTAGCAAGTAGAACTGTGGTTCTGATAAAAACATTTTATGTCTTGTCCAAGAGATTTTCCCAGTTCTGTCAAGAGTCGTCAGAACTGACAAAGCCTCTGGGACGAGAGTGGAAATGTTTTCACAGTGTGCACAGTAAATGAGCATATTGCAGACATTCACAAGACGATTCACAAGGACAGACGATGGAAATGAGTGCAGAAAGGCAGACTAGTGCTTCAGTGTGTTCTGGAGAGAATCAGGCACATTGGATGGATGTTTCATTTATATAGAAAATGAGTATGTCTAGTTATAGTTACCTGGGTGGTTTGCAGAAGTGTAAACAAGTCCATGTAAAAATCTTTCAGCTGATTCTCTGATCTCTACACTGTTAGAATAGTATACGTTATCTACTGAGCCTGTGCACAAAAGAAAACCACTAGATTACACACATATTATTCCAATAGGTGTATTTCACCCATTTGACTGATAGAATACAGTGTAATAAAACTACATGTACAGTATATACTCAGGTGTATTTTGCCCATCAGAATAGCATAGTGTATTAAACTCCTTTCAGTTTAGTGTGTCTGTGTATAAAGGCATAAATATGCTAATCAATAGTTAAAAACACTCGTCTCACAAGGGCATATATTGCTCTGATAGTATATATTCTGTGTATATAAACTGATAACTATCAGTTTGAGGGACCTATGCTATTCTGATGGTGTATACTGATCCGTCAGAACACCTGTTCATCTTTTAACAAATAAGCCAAATATCACATATATCTAATTTTAAAGACCTCATTTATAGCTAGTCTATTTAGGTGAATAATAAAGAGGACATAGAGAGTGTTTGAGTAGAAGCCGAGGAGGAAGAGAGAGAATGAGATGGATGAGCTGCTGCGGAAACAGGTGAAGTAGCTCATTGTAGTATTAGCAACCCACTTTATACCGTAATGAGCGTTCTAGGAACGCAGTTCTAAACCAACAACAAAGCGTACACACTTCTAACGCAGTGTTCTGCTGCCACAATTGGAGTCTGTTCAGCTGTGATCCAGAAATAATTAGGAAGAAACCCAATAGGAGGAAGTTTAATTGAAAATCCAGAGGAAAACAGGTTTTTGAAATACTAGTGTTATAAATAACAGGAAATAATTTAAATACATTAAGGTCACTATACCTTACAAGATAACAAAAGTCATTATAGTAACATTATACAGATGGTTACATAAAGGAAGTGCGTGTGGTGCTCCTTACTGTCTGTTTACTGTCACTACACAAAGTGACCCAGCAGATGTTCTGAGTTTATTTAACAAGTTCACTGACATTATTTTGTTTCTAAAACAAAAACCCCTGTCCTTAGATTCTGCACCAAGAATATCACTAACAGAGACCTTTATACACATCTAAACCTCACTAAAGTTTAAAGCAGGGGGAAATGATGGCCTTTCTGCAGTCTCTGCTCTTCATGAAGTATACTGTATCACACAGAAATGTCCATGGGTAAAAGCCTCTACTCCACTTTCTGAAGATGAATATAATGGTAATAATTCAATCACATAATTAGTTAATATTAAGCAGCTTTTACACTGGATTATCTTCCTACTCGCCTCACTGTAACTGGGTGACCTACTGGGATTTACAATGGGACAGGAAGAAGATTAGAATGTGGAGGCAGACATGAACTGTTTTCACTGTGCCTTCTTTGCCCCGAAATACTAAGTCACAAAGTATATTTCATTAAAAAAAGTGTTTCTTTTTTTTTTCAAATAAGATGAAGTTGGGGATACTGAGGCTTCAGCTAGAAGCTAGACCAATTTGTTCATTATGGGAAAATTGTATTAAAATTTAATATTAAAAAAAACAACTCGGCATAAAAAAACTTGAAATGAAATCAACATTCAGTCGTAGTCACCTCTGATTGTGAGGTGAGTCAGGGAAATCACCAAGATCATAAAAACACATTAGATGCTTTATTGTCAGCAGATTTTTTTGAAGTTTGGTGGATTTATGCTCACTCTCCTGTTTACCAAATGTATAGGGAAACCCAGCAATTGTATTTATTAATAAACAGGAAGTTCTAAAATATTCTTCTTTAGAGAGCAGTACCACAATTTTTTGTGTATTTATGAAAGAATAACAGAAACAAAATGTCTGCTCCTGCCATGATCTAAAGTGGTAAAAGAATCAGCAGTGATGTGAAGAAAATTAACTGGGTTTGAATGGAGGCTGCTGGTAGTTTACCAAGGTAAAGTGAAAACATTACAATATCAGTAGCTTATAGCCTATGCATGTAGATATAGATCTGGCCTATATCCATTTTCATCAGTTAACCCCAGCTATATCAAGTTTGCCGTTTTTTTTTCTGCAATCACTCACCTAAACATCAAGCCTGTGTGCATTAACCTGAAAGGCAAAAGTACAGTAGACATCACCATCCGTGTTGTGCATGTTAACACACACACACACAAAAACGCACACACACAAAATCCCACATACACTATCTGTCCTGAATAGTTCACAGTCATGTCAACCATCCTTCTCCAAAGATACATATGGCCAAAGCTGTCTATACACCAGTACAATCATATACCTTTGTATGGAAGAACAAAGTCCAAAGTAAGTGGTGCTTTGTGACTGTTTTACAACTGTCCTGAGTTACAAGAGGTCAAAATACAGAAGGATACAAACATAAAATCTCAGTCTCAGCGTTCTTGGCTAAGTCAGAGCCAAGAACGCTGGTTACGCTGCTGAGAAGTTCGACCTGACAGAGTCTTCTCGTAGCTGGCGGTGCTTCCCCGTGTTGCTCTCCTCAATGCGCGAGCGGCGCTCGACAGTGATCCTGTAGTTCTTTCTGCAGCGGAACCAACACATTACAGGGAGGTTAAAAATCCTGTAAGCAGCTTTATTTTCCCTGAAATATTTTCAACAGTAATTACTAGACAAGCAACCCCATTTGAATTCCAGGCGACACAACCCAGGGTTACAACCCCAAGGTTGAAAAACACCATATTAAAGAGTGACACTGTACAATAAAATACTTTTTACAACTACTTCTATACTTTTTAGCTAATCAGGGCAAAATAAATATATAAATACCTGAAAAAGTAGAATCCTATAAGCATAGCTGTTCCCAGCACAGCTCCCACTATGACTCCGGTCAGCGCTGACACTCCTAGTCCACCTGTGGGAGGCAGTCACTTGTCAAAACCTGCACATATACAGAACATGCAGTAGGTGACAGGCTTGAATGAACAGTAGTAAACTTACATGATTTGTTTGTCATCTCTGGCTGTGATATAGGTGATCCTTTCAAAGTAAAATGTTCGTCGTTGAAGGCTGGCAGCTTCACAAAAGATTTATTTTCAGCATAGTAGTTGGCCACCAGCTACAACATAGAAGAACACATTGATATAACTTATTAAAGTGTTTAATCAAAGGGTAACTCTGGATTAATGAAGATTACTGACTAATCATGGTTAATCCTAATAAATCAACAGCTTTTTTTCCTGTTTATTACTGGGACAGAAAGACAAATCTTGAAAGTGGCTTGGTGAACACATTGACAGTTGTTTTGAAAAGGTCCATGAAGCTGTAGTCCTAAACAATATAAATCAGTCTTTAGTTCCCCACACAATACATTATTCCAGTCAGCTTGTCTTTCTGTGGCGCTTTGGCCCAGAGGCAATGTCTCTGTCATTTGTGTGGAACCCCAGGGTTCACCTCCTGGGCAAGATCGAATCCCAGTTAATGTGGTTGGCGCCTTCCAGTGGACTTACCATCCGCAGGAAGGTTCACGGAGGGCGATGCAGTGTGATTTAGGTGGTGGTTATGGAGACGCTGCCCCCCGACCCGGTAACGGATAAGCAGACGAAAATAGATGGATGGGTGGGCTTGTCTTCCTGCCCAACACTTGATAAAGATGATCTAACGCAAGCCGGGCCTGTGTCCAGAAGTTGAACCCTCCACAAACACATGCTGGGCGTTGAAATGATATCTGAAGCGGCAACCGCTTTATGAAACAAAACCTCTTTCCTGCATTGTGCATCACAATGTGTCAACTGTGTATTAGAGCAATAGTAAGAGGAGGAATGGTGGAATTATTGCCCTTCTTCTTCTTTCTTCTTTCGGCTTGGTCCCTTTTTCAGGGGTTGCCACAGCGAATCATTGATTTCCATCTCTCCCTGTTCTCTGCATCTTCTACTCTGACTCCAACTATCTGCATGTCCTCCCTCACTACATCCATATATCTCCTCTTTGGCCTTCCTCTCTTTCTCCTCCCTGGTAGCTCCATCTCTAACATTCTTCTCCCGATGTATCCACTGTCCCTCCTCTGCACATGTCCAAACCATCTCAATCTGGCTTCTCTAGCTTTTTCTCCTAACCTTCCTGTCTGTGTTGTCCCTCTAATGACCTCATTCCTGATCCTGTCCATTCTTGTCACTCCTAAAGAGAATCTTAGCATCTTTAACTCTGCCACCTCCAGCTCCGCCTCCTGTCTTCTGCCTATTGCTACCGTCTCTAAACCATACATCATGGCTGGGCTCACCACCCGCCTGTAAACCTTTCCCTTCACCTTAGCTGACACTCTTCTGTCACAGATCAGCCCTGACACTTTTCTCCAGCTGTTCCATCCTGCCTGTACCCTATTCCTCACCTCTCTTCCACAGTCGCAGCTGCTCTGAACAGTTGATCCTAAGTACCTAAACTCCTGCACCTTCACCACCTCTGCTCCTTGTAACCTCACGATTTCACTGTTCTCCCTTTCGTTTACACACATGTACTCTGTCTTGCTACGACTGACCTTCATTCCTCTTCTTTCTAGTGCAAACCTCCACCTCTCTAGGTTCTCTTCTAGCTGCAGCCTACTCTCGCTACAGATCACAATGTCATCTGCAAACAACATAGTCCATGGGGACTCCTGTCTGACCTCATCTGTCAATCTGTCCATCACCACAGCAAACAAGAAGGGGCTCAGGGCCGATCCTTGATGTAGTCCTTCCAAGTTTCTCTCCCTAACACCAAACCTACCTATCACTTCCTCATCTCCTCTGTTCCCTTCCCCTACATGACCATTTAGGTCTGCTCCAATCACCACTCTCTCTCCCTTGGGGATACTCTCTATCATCCAATCCAGCTCCTTCCAGAACTTCTCCTTTTCTTCCAACTCACAGCCCACCTGTGGGGCATAACCGCTAACAACATTTATCATCACTCCTTCTTTTTCTACCTTCAGACACATCAACCTGTCTGACTCTCGTTTCACCTCTACCACATTTCTTACATATTCTTCCTTTAGGATCACCCCTACTCCATTTCTCTTCCCATCTGAACTATGATAAAACAGTTTGTAGCCTCCTCCAATGTTTCTAGCCCTGCTGCCCTTCCACCTGGTCTACTGCACACACAAAATATCTACTCTTCTTCTCTCCATCACATCAGCTATTTCTCTACTTTTCCCTGTCATTGTACCTACATTCAAAGTTCCAAACTTCAGACCAACACTTCTATTCTTCCTCTTTTTTCTTTTTGTCTGAATCAATCGTCCTCCTCTTCTTCTTTGTCTTTGACCAACAGTAGCCCAATTTCCATCAGTGCCCTGTAGGTCAACGGCACTGTTGGCGGGCGTTGTTAACCCGGGCCTCGACCGATCCGGTATGGATATTGTTATAGTGATGCGCATATTTGATATGGCTAAAAGTTTTACGCTGGATGCCCTTCCTGACGCAACATCATTTATTCGGGCATGGGACCGGCACTATAAAACACTGATTCGTGTACCCTCGTGGCTGGTTTGGTGGAATTATTGCCCAGGCATTTAAAAAAGTCACTAAGTCTCAGCGTGTTACTAAATGTCTGAACAACTTCTTAAGATAAGGTTTGTGTGGGAACAGGTGTTAACGCCAAATGATTTAGAATACAACATGCTCAAAATCGTGTTACAAGTGCATAGCAACATGAACCTAATACTACTACTGAGACAACCTTTTACCTATTGTAATGAAGCAGAATAAATCAACTGTTTACAAACAACTTAGAAGAATTAGAAAACTTTTTTCCCCTTGTTTTTCTTCGTGTCGGTGGTTAGTGAGCTGAAATCATATCTCTAAGGCGTGCAAATAACTAGTAAGATATATTCCATTTACCAGAAGTGTTTGGTTAGATATTAGTTAGTTTTTTAAAATATGTTTTATATCAATAAATTGTCTTTATAAATGTTGCATTGTTGTTTCTCAGAATGTTATTAGACCAACTTTAAATTCCATTTATTTAGCTCTTTTTGTGTTCTTTTTCTTTTACTTATTGTTTACATGATGATGTAAACACACACACTCATATGGAAATACCAATATAATGCCTTAGAGAAGATCAGTGTGTTTGTATTCTTACTTCATAGGTTCCTGCCTCAACATCCGTCATGGACATCAGGGAGAAATCTCCGTTTCTGTCTCCATTTACATCTATGGACACTTGGCCAGCAATTCCTGTCAAACACAATGACCACATCACATAACTACTGCGTTCAAGACATATATAAAAATGTACAGAGACTCCAGCTCACCTTTCAAAATAGGCCATTTAATTAAGTATGGGCACCACTCACACTGAGCTGATGCATATCACAGTTATGTCCTTTGGTGTTTTATATCATTGTTTTAGTAATTTACCCCACACTAACTAAGAACATAACATCTGTCTCTGTTGCAAACTAAAGGATTTAAAGCTCTATGTAAAAAGAAAAAGAAAAAAGGAATTCATGGGAATCCAACAGTCACAAATGAGCTACCATGTCTGGGTTCAGTAATGGGACATGGATCATTTGGTACAGGGTCATACAGAGAGAATAACATTTTTTTCATTTAAGTTATTTTAAAAAAACAAAACAAAAAACAAAAACAAACAAACAAAAAAAACCCAAAGTTAGTCTGCATAGCATTTTATTTTGAAAAATAAACAATGTCTTTGCGCTTTCTTTTCCCCCGACCCCGAATTTTGTTTAATGCACTGTTTAGCTCGCAAATTAACTTAAAAATCAGTAAAAAAACAAACAAAAAAAGGGCAAAAGGCCTAATGATGAGATAATAGAAGACTCCAAAACTGTCACCAAAATAAAGCTACATTTGAAAGACTCCTGAAATGAATAATATAAAATAATAATTATATATAATAATAATAATAATAATAATAACTGAAGTCCCTCATTCATCCCACAATAGGGAAATTTGCAGTGTGAGTCTTTGCAACCTGAAGAAACTCCCACAGGAGGCGCCATTAAGTATGTGGTTCCTCAGGGGCTCGAAACCAGGAACTTCTGCGTGTAAGGCAGATGTGTAAGGCAGTGGTAATAACTGCTACATTACTGAAGCAGAACATTATATATGTAATCATTTAATTATATATGACGTGTGATCTGTATTTTGTTATCATGGAACCATGTTGGCAGGAGAAGCTCTACAGACACTTTCAAACCCAGAATATTTTGATAGACAGTCTTTAAATATCAGTTTCAACGGATTCCTCCAAAATCACTGAACTGTTCACTGTGACTGACCTTTTTCCTGAATATGACACTCATGGAACAATTCATAACTACAGTTCATGAGGCCAGTGGAAAGATCAACCAAACATGGACCTCTGAGCAACAGCAACAACAACAAAAACAACAGCAGCAGCAGCAGGGGTTAAGTCAATGTTGACATGATCACAGTGTCAAAAATGTGTCCATGGTGCTATAATCGGAAGGAATCCTGTTTTTGTTCTAACGTAACTAGATTTTTGTATAAGGTCTGCAATCTTTAGAAGAACTATAGGAGTGGGGAGTTTGCTAGATCACCACAGGGTCAAATAAGGTATAGGTTGCTAGTAAGGGGGCTAATGTTTGATAATAGGAAGAAAATCAAGAGAAGAATGCGGTTTACCTTCAAATGTCCTGTTCCACATGCGAGAAGTGATCGCTGTTCCATTCTTCTTACTGTATCCACTCTTCATGGCCTTGTGTAAAGCAATGGCGTACAGCAGCATGGCATCATGAAATCCCTCAACAAAAATGTTGACCTGCAGTAGTACATGAAGAGGATGTAGTAGTGAGGTGGCTGCAGCTACTTACATAGCAGCATCTAAAGTCTTTGACAGTTTTTCCACATAAACACATTCGACAGCTTGCAGATATGTAGCAGTTGTGTAGTCCGTCAACTAAACAGCAGAAACCTTTCAGACATAGGTATAAATGTTACACACCTAAATTTATAAGTTTCTTAAATTGAATTATATATATATATATATATATATATATAAAATAATAATAGTAATAAGAAGAAGAGGAAGAGAAAGAAGATTAAAAAGCTTAGTCAATCTCAGTACACCTTATTGTCATAAAATATACATATGTAATATATATACATACAACAAAAAAATGCCCATCCATCCATTTTCATCCGTTACCGGGTCGCGGGGACAGCAGTCTCTATGACTGCCAGCCAAATCACACTGCACCGTACCAAACCCCCCGAACCTTCCTGCGGGTGGTGAGTCCACTGGAAAGTACCAACCACCCTAACCGGGATTCGATCTTTTCCAGGAGGTGAACCCTGTGCCTCCACACCAAGATATTGCCTCTGGGCCAAAGCACCACCATGTATACTTATTAATAATTACATTATGGTTGTGGTAATAATCTGTTTTACCCCATTTCATTTTAGTGATACATGCCTTATCTCACTGATATAAAGAAGCATAAAATGTCAGAAGGTTCAGAATTTAGGTTTAAGGAATAATGATAAATACTGAGGTTTTAACTTTTCTGTTGTGCCTTGATTTTACACCATGTATTTTAAAATAATAATTTTACAATGGACTATGTTGTTTTACTTACTTCTCCTATTCCTTCTACTACCAACGGGTTTCCCTGTGCCTACAGAAGTAAACGTTTGCCACATTACTCTCAGTGTAGGAGTTGATAAACTTGGATCCTCTGCTGTGTCCTAATGTTCTGTGTTCTCTTTTGTATATTGCCTACTCCTAACAAGCTGTTTCACTGAAATGTCCTAAAATGCATACCCACCCGCACTCTTTTATTCTCTGCCAGGTAAAAATAGACACACATCTAATGTTAAACATTCGCGATTCAATCTTTAATTTCATGTTACATTCATATAACATGGGGTAAGGTGACCCAAAGGACCTTACAAGGGATAAACAACTAAGAATTTTGGAAAGGACAAGATGAAAAGTCAAATCTGTGACAGCAGAAGAGCAGCAGTCAGTAGTGAGACCTGCTTGATGTCTGGTTTAGAGACAGTGACTGTGTCTAAGAGACAAAAGGCAGAGATGAAGATGTGCGATGGAGACAGATGATCTGTTGTGACCCTTGAAGGCGACAACAAAAATAAGGAAAAGATGAGGAAAAGTCATACACTCTGGTTTCAGACACAGACGTTGTACGTACACTTTCACAGTCCTTGCAGTTGCTAAGTTCTGTTTTTTCACTGGACTGTCTCATTTCCACAGTGAAGTTCTCAAACTCAGGCTTGATTGACCTGAGCAGCGTCAATGTGTTCAGGGAAGCGTAGGCCTGTCTTGCATCGTTGTCGTAATTATCTCCTCTCTTCCATGACCCGTTTCCTGAGGTGAAAGAAAGAAAAAGATGAGGCAGGTTTTCTGAATTAAAAACACCATTGATTTATAACATGACTGGTTTCAATGGACCAACAGTAAAGAACAACTGCTGCTTTATAGAGTTATTTACACTATCCTCACAAACAAATAAAATACTTTGGAGAATACATATTCTAGGATGCATGGAAAGACAGTAATAAACACACAGCATTTTTGGATAATGAATATTGATCCTTAAATCATAACAAGGGACCAATATTTAGTAAACCAAGCTCTCTCACACTACCCTATAAATGTTTTTTTATTATAAATGTATAAAATAAAAATATATAACACACATACATGCAATAAATGGTTGTATGTGACAGTGGACCCCAAAACACTACAGTACATCAGTCTTACTTCGTCATACCTTATCACTTCAAACAGATTCAGGTGAATTGTCAAGCTTTTAAAACAAATTGCATACAAGTGAACACATTTAAAGCAGTAAAGTGGTTTAATTTACCGTAGGACGAGGCATTGAAGAGTTCAACATTAAAGAACATATAACTGCCATTGGTCAGGCCCCGTCTGTGTGCTGCCAGCATGACCTCTCGTATTCCTTCGGCTCCCATACACATGATGACCACTGGGGAAAAAAAGACACAGATACAGTCAAGATGTTACATTTATTTTTGAAGTAGTTTCTTTTTTAACTAACATAACATTTACCCAACATTTACGAATTTAGAAATTGATAGCTGCAATACTAAAGGGGGAGAGAGAGAGAGACAAAGAGTTCCCTTCTATGCCCCACACCCTTTTTAATTGTGGTTTTATTCTTAGCCTGCTGGTGCAGCATTTACACCATTTATGCTGTTTGAAAGACTCGATGCTAAAGGGAACCTGGTTAACATTACTTTGTTTCCCTTTCATTGTGCTGTTGACAATTACATTTGGAAACTGATCTGGACTGCAGTCATGCCAGTCAGGAACTCACAATTTATATCAATCCACACATTTGGTCATTCTGGCAATGAGCTGCTGACCAAAAAAAGAAAAAAACCAACAAAAAAACATGTTCCTGACCCATTCTTGCTTACACTCTGAGCCTTTGGTTTACAGTGAAAAGTCAACCTAGATACGCACACCAGTTAAAAAGTAACCGATTCATTGAGAAATCTCAAAGAAGGTACATTTTTTGGTCTTTTGTCTCTGTCCTGGCTTTATAAGTGTTATGTAGTAATTAAAAAGAAATACATTTGTTATTAAATACTTGTTCTTTTCTTTCAAACTAATTAGTAAGAAAACAGCTAATCTATATAATATTTATATTTAATGGGATTTTTAAGAGTTGCACCATTTATTGTAGAACTGGAGTTATCAGTGAAATCCCTCACTGTTTGCACTTGTAAATGTCAATGAAGTATTTATGGTGAATATACCCGAACCGTGATATTGTTCAGTCCTTGGTATTTTTCCTCCTTAATGCTGCCTCGAGACGGGACAGCATGTCATTTCAGAACCACTAGTTCATATGTTTCCATGTGTATCTGTGAGATAAAACCAGAATGTGTGGTCCACTCAGCCCTGACAGGCGGTGGGAGGGAAAAAAATACAGACCCAGTGGCGTTAGAACAGAAAAAAAAACATTTTTAATTCTTTTAATTCTCTTTCACTATTTTAAAATAGTTTTATTTCTTTAAAATAAAACTATTTTTAATGCATGTCCATCACATCCGTCTGTTTTAGTGAGTCATTACCATTACCTTCCGTGTATGAAGCACATGAGCACAATCTCCTCTGTGGCTAATTTGCAACAATCTGGTGTTGGTTGCACAAAATGTAACAAGTGGATGTGTAGTGTAAGAGTCTGGCTTTCCAGGGAACATTACTCTGATTAGAGCCGGCAGATGGAACAGACACCCGGCAGTTTTAGTTACGGCTGAAGGACTGCATGCAATAGTCTGGTTCCGTGAATTATTTCTGCATTAATTACACAATGTTTATTCCCATTTTTAAGTAATTTGTAGGAAAAACATGCAATATTTCCATGAAGCGTGTACAATATATCATGTGTGTCACATGTTTGTTGCAGACCTAAGGGTTGAAAGTTCAAAAACGTTTTTAAAATTATTTTTATCTTATACCTAGGCTGTATATGAGCGATGGACTGCCTCTTTAATTCTAATTTGAAAATCACTTGGGAATGACATTCTGTTACACTTCCACTTCTGACCTGCAGGGGCTGGCTCCAGAAACTTTGGCTACCACTCAAAGCGTTAACGCAATGCACTGATTCTTTACAAGGTGGAAACACCTTGTAAATATAATAAAAGAACATATTTCCATATTAAATACAAATGATAAAGCTTGAAAAGGAGTCACCACAGTGGATCATCTGCTTCCATCACACACTTCTTCATCTCTCATTTCACACCAACCACCTTCATGTCCAACTACACACGTTCCAAAACTCTTCTGTGGGATTCTTCTCCTAGCTAGCTGACAACTACATTCAGCATCAAGTTGACCCAAATGCAGTGTGGAGCTAAACTACAACATGGAGGGTGTAATCTTGTGTTCCTCACAATTTATATCACAGGTCTGTCTGTTTCCTGTTCCTGCTGTCTGCTGTGTGGGGTAATCTGTGTCATCATACTCACCTGTGTTTCTGTGATTAGTCTCACTCGTGAGAGTTTGGTTATTTACACTGTCCTCGCAAACAAATAAAATACTTTGGAGAATACATATTCTAGGATGCATGGAAAGACAGTAATAAACACACAGCATTTTTGTATCATGAATACTGATCCTTAAATCATAATAAGGGTTTTTAATGTTTAATTAGTACTTCAAAGCAAGGCATCTACGATTGAATCCATTTTGACCAGACCATTTGCTGAAATACAGCCCTAAACAGTTACAGAATCTTCTTACTACATCATTTATAAAAGTCATTTTCTTCTCTATCCTCTTTCACTACATCACTCAGCTCATCAATATTTATTGATTATATATATATATGAATATATATATATGAATGATTGGAAATAAATAAACCAGGGTCTCCAATGAAGAAAACACTGTAACCCCCAGCATCCCTGTTAATAAGGAAGATCCAGTCTTGCTGGAACATTCCTCACAACTCTGTCACTTAAACACACCTCCTGAAATATCCCTTGAGTCAGTGGGACAAACTTCACCTCAGTCCTGTCAGCACTATAGCACCCTTTAATTACACTGGCCTCTACACACACTACTGGCCCTGTGTGTGCTCTGTAGGCCATTCCACAGGGCAGCACTTGCAGCCAGTAGCATTTTAAAACTACTGGATCCTTCTTTTTACTCGGGCACTGATGGTAATTAGACATTAACTGAGGTATGGGGCAGCACATGGTGCACTTACTGCACCCACAGTGTGTTTCCAGTGCTGGTCATAAAAACCTAGAGCATTTATGCAAATATGTGGCTTCATAGTGCCTTAATTCCCTAATAAAGAGATTTAGGTCATCAGAGAAGAACAGGATTAAGAAGCAATAGAAAGACGAAGAAGTTTTGCAGTTTATCACTGATATCTCAGATGGCAGAATAATCTGACTGGTGAAACTGTCCGAGATTAACACTATTCTTTTTTCTAAATCCCACACTGCGCTCCCCCCCACGGGGCCTAGTTTGGAGTTGTCTTTTTTCCCTCCTCCTCCTTCCCTATCGTTTTTCAGTTGTTTTTCATCTTGGCCACTGAGAGTGAGAGTTGCCGCTGCTCTCCGGGCGTATGTGTTTTATTTTGTTTTGTTTTATGTACAGTGTCCTTGGGTGACTTGAAAGGCGCTTTTAAATAAAATGTATTATTATTATTATTATTATTGTCCCTGGTAATGTACACCTTTCTCTGGCTGAGCCCTAACACATTTGTGGTTGTATAGTAAGAGTGAGTCTTTGCCTCACAACTGTGCAGGAGCCCAAGGGGAGTTCTCCTCCAAACACAAAGACTTCATACAGACTCATGATGGGAGTGCATGTCTCAAGAGGATTTACATCAGAAATGGACCAATCGTGAGAGAGGTGCTTAGTTTTCCCTCCTAACTGGTTCTTAGATGCTGTAATATTGTGAGGTAAATAGTTAAGAAAAAGTTCTGTGGGGGTTTAGAGGAGCGAGGCACGAGGTACTTATGAAGACATACAAAGTCAGCTGAAAATTGTCTACTTGTTTTGATTCTGTCGTGAGACGGAACACAATGTACAACTTTTTGTACACTGAGAAGCTTTATGTGCTTTTAAAGTATGGTTGTGGAAACACACTTAGACATCCATCTCTAAAACTGTTTTTATCTAAGTTGCTTGAACGCAACATTGCCCACCAATAAAAAGCTAATCTGACTCAGTCGTAATGTCTTCTTCTTATCACTCCTTACCTGATACGGTAAGTTAATTACAAAACCAGTATTGCCGCCTAGCGTTCAAACATGTAATAACATCCAATCATAACATCCCCCTTTTTCTAAGGCTAAATGTATTAACATGAACTATCACATTAGCTGTGTCAGTTATTTTAACAATTTCTCTTTCAGCATAACTCTGCTACACATCTGCAGTATAAACTGTATATCAGAACATATTCACAACATCCGCCAATATACATTTTGTTCAACATGTATATTGAATTTTCTTTGTTTATAAGTTTAGTCTATCAGGCTTTCTGATTCCCCTTGTGGACCTTCTTAACTCAGGTTCACTTGGAGTAGGTGTGTGAGAGTCAGTGTTACCTGTCCATAATAGGTGTGGGTATTTCCTGAGATTCACCACAGTCCCTTGAGTAGTTTTTAACAGACTGCGACGATTTGTCCATCATCAGTTCTCACAGTGCAGCACAGTCACTTTTGCACTCCATCCATCAGCATCCTCAATCCTGACTGTGCTGTTGGTAGTCAGTGGAGGAAGATGCTTGGTTCTTCTGTTATAGAATGAGTTTTGTATGATTTTCTGCTGTTGTAGCTTATGTTTAATCTTTGAAGGATTCTTTTGCTTTAATTTGTCGTTTGGATGACTCGGCAAGGTTGTTCTTAGCTTCCTCTTCATCAGCAGTTCAGCTGGCGATAGACCACACTGAAGAGGTGATGCTCTGTAGCTCAACAGAGCCAGATGCGGATCTGAGTAGCTGTCAGTGGCTTTCTTTAGGCGTTGCTTGAGAATGTGAACTCCTTTTTCAGCTTGGCCGTTGACTGTGCATAGTGTGGGCTTGTCGTCACATGTTTGAAATCATATTTCCCTGCAAACCTTTGCCATTCTTTGCCGCTGAAGCAGGGGCCATTGTCACTTAACACAGTGTGTGGAATGCCATGCCTGCCGAAGATAGATTTTGCATGTGTTATGACACAGGTGGATGTTGCATTTGCTAGTAGCACCATCTCAGGGAAGTTTGAGTAGTAATCCATTACCACCAAATAGTCTTTACCCCTGAGATGAAACAAATCTATTCCTACTTTATCCCATGGTGCTGTTGGCACCTCAGCTACCATCATAGGCTCTTTGCTCTGCTTGTTCCTGTGTTTCTGGCATGTTCCACATTTACTTAATGTGTTTCAATGTCTTTGTTAAATGCAGGCCAGAAAACTGTCTCTCGCCCTTTTTTTGCACTTTTTGATGCTG